AAAAGTCATATGCACATTAATTAATCTGTTCCAGAACAGCAAAAATGTAAAATTTTTCTACAATAAATAATTTCCCCTTTATGATACAGAAAAAAAATTGCAAAAAATAGTTCTTGCAGGTTCTGGAATGTAATTAAAAAATTTCATTAATTATAATTTTTTTTCGATAATTTTTTGTTAAAATTTTTTCTTTTATAAAAATTAAGGCCAAATTCTTTGACTGTAATCTCCCGATATGGTCAACATATTTCATATTCATATTTTATTTTTTACATGACATTTTCAAGATTATGAGAATATATTTTATATACATATAATGATTTTCACTTATTTATTAAAATGTAAACATCAATTGTAACTTACTTTTATAATTATATACATTCTCAAAATTCAATTTAATTGTTTCATTTTTATTTATTCTTAATTTGTAATATTTGAAAATTTATTTAATTTTTATTTTATGTAGCTGCTCTTATTTATTTTTATTAACACTTGTTGTTGTTTGTGGATTTCTCGTTCTTCCTTTGTTGTCTTTTATTTTTCATGACAGTATCAGGATTTCAAAAATTAATATACAGTTGAATTGGAAGTTCTTGTATATTTCCTGCAAAAAAAGCTAAATAACTTTTTTAGTTATCATTTTTTATTGTTTTTTTTTTTTTTAATTTTTGATTATATTAAAATTAATTTATTTTTCTTAAATTTTTAATTTTTATTATTATAACTTTAGTTATTCATGTTTATATTTATTTGTTAAAAAATATAAATTTTATTTTTTATTATAAATATATTTTTATATATCTTCACTAAATTGTAATTAAATCATTTTATTTATTTTATTTTCATACATTATTTTATTTGAATACTTTTATTTAAATTGCACTTAAATGTGTTTGATAAAATTATATTTTGATTTCTTTCTAGTCAACTGTATTTATATTTATTTATTTACTTTTTTTTCTTTTCTTGTTTATTAAGGTTTTTGTTTTAAATTTTATATAAATAAAAAAAAAAAAACATTTTATTCATAATTTTATTTGTAATTTCGTTTTGTTATATTTATTAAATGATGAATCAAATATTTAATATATTATATATTTAAATTAAAAAAATAACATTTATAACATTTCCCTAATGTTTTTAATGTTTTTTTTTTTTCAATTTTACTAAGTGTTAAGGTTTTATTTTTGTTTTATATGTTAATGCTTTTCCTTTAATTTTTTAACAACATGTATATGTTTATAATTTTGTTTTGTCATATAAATTAAAAATAAATAAAAACTGCCAATTATAAACTTTAATATTTTATTTTTATTTTCCCAAATGCATTAATGATTTGTTTAATATATGTTTTCTTTAAAATATATTTTTTTATAAATTTTAGTTTTTATTCATTCGTAAAAATTTATTATTTTATTTTTAATTTTTATTATTTTGATCTGCTTATACTTATCTGCTTTTTTACTTGTTTTAATTGTTAATGTTTATTTTTTTCCAATTTTACTTCAATGTTTTATTTATTTAAATTTTTTGTTTTAATATTTCCAATTATTTTTCTTTACATTTTATTTTTGTTTTTATTTAATCTTTTTCGATTTGCTTGAAAATTTTTATGAAATGCATTTTTTCAATTGTATTATTATGATGCAATACACATTTTTTTAAGTTTTTTCTTACGTTGTTTAATTTCAATATATATATATTTTTTGATGAGTGAATGAATGTTGAGATTTATATTAATTTAATTTGAAGTTTACATTTCAAGTATTCTATTTTGTATTATTTAGAATAGTTTTGTTTACTTCTATATTTTGGAACAGTATTGGCATTTTATTTGGTATTGGCATTTGCGTAGTTTAAATTTTTTTTATTATTATTTTTTATTTCTTCTATTTTATTATTTATTTTAATTTTATTTATTCTAATTTTATTATTTTTTTACAATTTTATTAATTTTTTAAGCTTTTATTACATTTTTAATTTTATTAACTTTTTACAATTTTAGTAATTTTTTAAATTTTATTTTTTTTAATTTTTATTTTTTTTTAATTTGAATAATTTTTTAAAATTTTAGTAATTTTTTAAAATGTTTTATTTTTTTTTTTAACTTTATTTTTTTAATTTGATTTTTTTAAGATTTTAATAATTTTATTAGATTCTTAAAGTTTTATTATTTTTAATTTTTTATAATTTCTTTAAAATTTTATTAATTTTTTAAAATTTCATTAATTTTTTTTTAATTTTATTATTTTTTTAAAATTTTATTACTTTTTTAAGATGTTTATTGTTTTATTATTATTTTTAATTTTTATTTTTTTTAAATTTTATTATTTTTTTACAATTTTATTAATTTTTTAAGCTTTTATTATATTTTTAATTTTATTAATTTTTTTAATTTAATTTTTTTTTTAAATTTTTGTAATTTTTTAAAATGTTTTATTTTTTTAAAACTTTATTTTTTTAATTTGATTTTTTTAAAGATTTTATTAATTTTTATTAGATTCTTAAAATTTTATTATTTTTTAATTTTTATAATTTCTTTAAAATTTTATTAATTTTTAAAGTTTCATTAATTTTTTAAAATTTTATTAATTTTTAATGAATTTATGCATTTTCACACATTTTTCTACGATTCTTTATATGTCATTTATTTTGTTCTGTTTTTTATTTTATTTTCGATTTTATTTGCTATTTATTTATTTTTTTATTATTATTTTTTATTAATTTATATTATTTAAGTTTTATTCCATTTTCTGCACTTTCATTTAAAATAATACCGATTATTTATTTTATTTGAATTTCCTGGATACTTTTGTTTTTATTTGGATAATAATGTTTTCCAATTGTTTTTAGAATTTGTATTTTTTAGCGACAATTATTTCAAACTTAACGAGCCAAGAAATTACAGCTATCGATAGATATCATTTGAATTCGAAAATTGCAAACAAAACAGCAAAAAAGCAAAACTCGACCCGAACGAAACGAAAGTCAAGTGGCCCAAACACAGGGTGTTGTTTTGTTTGTTTTGATTGTAAACAACAAAACGTACAGATACACTCAAACATGTGCATACACAGACATTCAAACACCCATTCGGCCTCTTCAAAGGTCATCTAACGTAATAACAAACATTGCACAACAACAATTGCAAGTGTGTGATGTGTCGGTTTTACACAGCGGAAGAAGGAAATGAAATTGAACAACAACGACGACGCGGCCGAGGGGGGTGGCCAACGTATGAGTAAACTTGAAAATAACATTACATTACACAGCCACACACACAATCTTACTTATATATGTATATGTGATTATGTGCATGTTGTTTTCCGCCGTTTCACACAGGGTGTCTATGCCATGCATGCCGCACCATCATCATTATCATCATCCAACATCCATGCATGTTTGTGGGCAACATTGTGGTTTTGTTTAGACAGCCTCTCTCACAAACACTCAGGCACACACACACAGACACATGCAAAAACAAAAATACTCTTGTTTTTTTTTTGCTCAGTTCAAACTTGTAACAAGTGCAGCATTAAGAACCAAACAAAATTCTAGTGACTGGCTGAGAATAACAACTGCCGGCTTTTTGCTTTACGTCCGGCAGGCATGCAGGCTGGCTGGCTGTCATGTCAGTTGTCTCAATAACATGCAACAACTACATGTATAGATAGGTGGGTATTATGGATGGCGCGGCAACATTTGATGGCTTTAAGAGAATTTTTAGCGCCAAAAATGTGTTGAACTTTTTGCACGTTTCTGTTTTTTTGCAGGAAAAAATTCAAATCTCCAAAAAAGGAACCTTTGCAAAATAATCAAAAATTATTTGGAAATAAAATATTAAGGGTTAAATGATTTTTTTTTAATTTTTTATTTTGTTTTTTTTTTTTAAGAAAAAAATTTAAATTCAAGTCTTCAAAAACCGCTTCTTTTTAAATTTTTTCTTCAGACTTCTTGGAAATTTATTTAAAATAAAATTGCAAGGTGTTGGATTATTCACCCACTTTTTTATTGTTGTTGTTTTTTTTTTTTTTTTGGTTATTTTTTTCAGAATTCACATTCGATGGCTTTAAGAGAATTATTAGCGCCAAAAATGGATTTCACATTTCACAGGTTTTTTTTTTATAGAAAAGAATTCAATTTTAAGATCAAATTTTAAAAAATCCGTCGCAAAAAAAAATTGTTTGAAAATAAAATTTTAAGGGTTTAATGATTTTTTATTTTTTTTTTTCTTGTTTTTTTTTAAGAAAAAAAATCAAATTTAAATTCGAATCTTCAAAAACTGTTTTAAAAAAATTCTGACTTCCTCGAAAATTATTTGAAAAATAAAAACTTGCAAAATGAATTGCAAATTGCATTATTTACCCACATTTTTATTGTTGTTGTTTTTTTTCTTCAGAATTCACATTTGATGGCTTTAAGAGAATTTTTAGCGCCAAAAATGTGTTTCACTTTTCCCACTTTGTTTTTTTTTCTTTTCAAAATTGAATTCAAATCTCCAAAAAAAAAACGTTGTAAAAATAAGAAAATATTTGAAAATAACATTCTAAGGTTTTAATGATTTATTTAATTTTTTTAAGAAAAAAAATTTTAAATTTAAATTCAAATATTCAAAAGCCGTTTTTTTCGATTTTTCCCTTTCTGATTTCTTCGAAAATTATTTAAAAAATAAATTTGCTAGGTATTGCATTATTGGTTCTCATTTTATTAATTTATTTTTTTTCTTCAGAGTTCACATTTCATGGCTGTAAGAGAATTTTTAGCGCCAAAAATGGATTTCACTTTTTGCACTTTTATTTTTATTTTTTTGTGGGAAGTAATTCAATTTTAAGATCAAATCTTAAAAATCCGTTGCAAAAAAAAATATTTTTTTAAGAAAAAAAATTCAAATTTAAATTCAAATCTTCAAAAACCGTTAAAAATTAATTTTTTGCCTCTGTTTTTTATTTCGAAATTTACTTGAAAAATCAAAATTGCAAGGTGTTGCATTATTTACCCACATTTTAATTGTTGTTGTTGTTTTTTGTTTATTTTTTCTTCAGAATTCACTTTAATTAATTTTGTTGTTGTTGTTGATAACGTCCAAAATGACGCATTGCTTCTTCACTTTTGTTGGTTTTTATTTTTGTAACGTCCATTTTTTTTTTTTTGAATTTTTCCTTTAAAGAGAACACCAAAAAAAATATTCACTTGATTTTATTTTCGGTTTATTTAAATTTTTATTTTATTTTTGGTTACTTGTTTTTCACGAGACAGTCGCGTGCTTAAAATTTTTCAAATTTCCCGCCACCGTCTGTGTTGTCGTCACCATTCGTCCGTCAAGCGTTCACTTGAAATGCAAATTTCTTTTTTTTTTTTTGTTAATTTTATTTTCGCGCTCAAATTTTTATTTTTCGCTAATTTATTTTTTTTTTATTTTGATTTTATTTTTTGCGAGTGATTTTCTTGGTTTTGTTTTGATTGTAAAACGACCGTCCGTCTGTCTGACCGACCGACCGAACGACAACAAACACCGTAAAACACTACCAAACCTTATGAAATCGATTTGTAACTGAAATGCTGCTGCTCGCTATTGAAATGAAATTTCTCAAACGACGACGACGACGACGACGGCGACAACAACGACGCCGATGTCGTCGTCATTGTCTCGGCCCCAAACGAATGTTGTTTACTCTGTTGCTGTTGTATTCATTGCTTGGGTTGGTGTGCTGCTGTGTGGTGGTGTGGCTGTGTGTGCTCCCAACACAAAATGTTGCTGGTTTAGCTACTCTGCTTTGGGTCTCAGTCTCGGCAGCAGCAGCTGCTGTTGTTTTGATTGTGGGGTGGAGTACTACTCTCTAGTGAGTGTCTCACCAACTGCCCTGACTGTGTGACTGTCACACAGTCACACCGACGACAACGACCAACGATGAGTTTCGTTCTGTCGTCAACAATCAATGTACTGTTGTTGTTGTTATTTCGTTTCGTATTTTGTTTTTTTTTTGTTTTGGTTGGGGATGACGATGTTGATTATTTTGTTGTGCAAGGATGGATGGCTGGCTGGCTGGTTGGTTGGAGTGCACACACAACATCATTATGATCTTCATCATCGTCGTCGTTGCTGTTGTTGTTCGTCCAAAATGAAGATGTTTATGTTTTTCGCAATGCTGTTACTGTTTTGCTGTTGTTGTCGTTGCTGTTGCTGCTGCTGCCGCTGGAGTGTTTTGAAAGCATTTCTTCAAAACATTTGGCGTAAACATCCACCAGCAGTGCAAAAAACGGGAAAAATAGTCAAACAAACAAAAGTGTCCAACATAATTGGAGAGATAAGTTTTTGTCTCAAATTATTTTTTTTTTTAATTTTCAAAACACGAGATAATAATTTGTATTTTTAAAATTTTAAACATATATAGCATGACTTGCAATATTTCATCCGAAATAGAGGAAAGAGAACCCAAATATTTTAGACTTTAGTTCTTATGGGTATGGAGTAGCTGAATCATTTTCAGTTTCCATAGATGTGTGGATTAAGTTCTCTGCAGGAAGTCTGGAGTTGAGTTAAGCATGTTAGGCGCACACAATTTTCGTATGGGACCAAAGTGAGCATCTAGAGCTTCTTATGTATCTATGATGCTATTGAAACTGGTAGTCAGAGCCCAGCAATATTCTCGGAGTCCGGGTTTCAAAAAAATCGACCCCGTGACCCAATGTATTTTTACCCTACACCACAATGTGGTCAGGGTATTATGTTTTTGTGCATTTGTTTGTAACAGGCAGAAGGAAACGAGATAGACCCCTGCTAGCTTTTGATAATCTGCATATAATTACATTCTGAGTCGATTTATGCATTACCGTCCGTCTGTCAATGTGTTTTTGTATTTATTGACCGATCGAGATATAATTTTGCACAGATCATTTCTTTGGCCTAAGGCCGGCCCATATTGAAATTGGAGATAATCGGTTAAAATTTAGATATAGCTCCCATATATATCCTCGTCCGATTTGCCTTTTATTGTGCACCAAATTTGTAATATAAGCCCAATAAGGATGGAATTTGGCATATACGACCAAATTGAGCCTAGAAACAAGCATGTCAAAATTGATCGAAATCTGTTCAGATATAGCTATAGCTCCCATATATACTGTTCATCCAATTTGTTATTGTTGTCCTTCAGATCCGTAATAATGGCTAATATTAGCCCAAATGAACTGAATCTTGGCAATTACGACTGAATTCATCCCAGAAACCAGTACTTCAAATTTCGTGTAAATCGGTTCAGATATAGCTATAGCTCCCATATATATGTTTCATCCGATTTAGGATTTTAAGTACCTCACAAGCGTAGTATGCATTCCACAACATTGATCTTTGGTACCAGATATCAGATACAGCTCTGAAATTAGTGTATCAAATTTTGTCAAGATCGGTTCAGATTTGGATATAGCACCCATAAATACCTTCAACCGATTTCGGGTTAATTGTGCACCAAATGGCTAATATCAGCCGAAATGGGCTGAATTTTGGCACATCCGACCGAATTCAGTGTAGCTGCAAGTACATCAAATTTGGAGGAAATCGGTTCAGATATAGCTATAGCTCTCATATACATATATATTTTATCCGATTTGGGGTTCTAAGTACCTCACTCCACAACAAGGAGATTTAATACCGGACATCATATAAAGCTCGGAAATACCATAGGGCTTCAAAATTTGGTAGAACAATTTGTATTGTGTTTAGGAGGGTTGGTATTGAAAATGAGATATATCGGTCCAGGTTTTGGTACGGCACATCCGATATTCGGTATTTTGGTGGCTTTTGCCACATTTTCCCAGGGATTTGTCTAAAAATTAGAATTTGTAGGTCATAATGGATTCTAGCTCCGGTGACGAAACATTGTTTATATAGGTCCACGTTTTTGGTATCGCCACCTTATAACAGTACCTCCTGATATTCGGTATTTTAATGGTTATTGCCACATTTTTTCACGGATTTTTCATAATGTGCTCTATCCGGTAGCGCAACATTGTATGTATAGGTCCACGTTTTTTGTATAGCCCCATATACCTCCCGATATTCGGTATTTCGATGATTTTTGCCACATTTTTCCACGAATTTGTCCAAAAAATGTTATTTGCAGTTCGTAATGGGTTTTAGCTCCGGTGGCAGAACATTGGATATTTAGATCCATATACATCGCCCTCACCCACTTTATAATTTTTTGAAAAGTTTATCAGCATCTTTTTTTTTTCTTTTTTCGTGGTTTGAAGTGGAATACGATACGAATACAGATACCTTTATAAAAAATGGTTTCTTTATCTAAAGGAGGAGGGTACGCATAGTGGTGTAGGTGTAGTCGGATCCGGCCGACTTTGGACCTCTCCTTACTGATAATTTTTTCAATTTTCTCCCAAATATTGGAGAATATAAAAATTTCGGCCCGGCCGCATTTAGCTTTCATACTTAAAGGACACCAAAAGTAGAAGAATCTTCTACCATTAGCGTTGAGCGACAGGAAAGAGCTGAATCTCGCTATTTTTATATAGGGAATTTCAGAAATTTTATTAAGCCTGACTTTCGGTAAATGAAAAGTACTAAAATGGTCTGCATTAAGAATTTTTAGGTTTTCAATTTTCAAAAATTTGAATATACAAGTAAAAAAGCTGTGAGTTCGGCCCGGCCGAACCAATTTTCAAAAAAAAAAAAAAATAATAATAATAAAATAATAAATAAATAAAATCCGTTAAAAATTATATTAAAATCTTAAAAATACTGAATGAAGCCGTTATATTTGGTCTATACGACGACGTGGACTTGCATAGGCAACTTTTGTCATAAGTCATTACAGTATTCAAATGCGAAACTTGAAAATAATCGATGAATATTGTAGCTAAAATAGCGAATATCGGGAGGTGCCGTTATATGGGGGCTATACGAAGACGTGGACCTGCACAGATCATTTTCTGTCTTAGGCTGTAGTACCCTGTACGAACTTCAAATACCAAATTCGAAACAATTCCGGTGAATAATGTCGCTAAAATCACCAAAATATCGAATATCGGGAGGTACTGTTGTATGGGAGCTATACCAAAACGTGAACCCACATGGCCCATTTTCAATACCAAAAGTCCTGCAGACATAACATACATTTGACCAACATTTTACCAACCAATTTCATTTCGTTCGGAAGCTTGAGTGATTTCCACAGACGGTCGGACACTGTCCATACTATGCTGGAGGGCATAAAACGCATACACATATTTACTTAATATTAAATATCATTCACATACGAGGTAGGTGGCATTTCCTAGTATAATATTACAAAAAAGGTTTAGAGATACGTAGGTCGGCTAATTTAAAATTTGATCTGCTGGACATTTCGGGACCCCTCTGCAATGCAATACATATCCCAGTCCCAAGTTCAAATCCTCTATTGCCAATAATGTACTCACCACAATGTACCAAAATGTTTTCGGAATTAGGAAAAAAACAAGCCAATGAAATAAACCGAATTTTATGCACAACAAACATAAATACCTTTTCCCTCCAGAGTAAATACAAATAAAAATACAATTTTATTTTTGTTTATCTAAATTCCACACCCAAACATCAGTTAACCGACCTACAGCATCGGTCGTAGCCTCCAATCAATGGCAACAACAAATGAATGTCTCTGGCGAAGAGCAAACATTTTTGTTGTGTGGAGAAATCTTTGCCAATTGGACTCATCATCATCACCATCACCGGGTTGTTTGTGGGCACTGGTGGCCTTAGGTGGCTAGCAAACTCACGGACTGACAGACTGAATGCCTGTTGGATGGATAGGTTGTTTGGTTGGTTGGATGGTCTGGATGAATTAAGACAAACGCAGACTAGGAGGGCAAATGCAAACCGCAAACACAAACGCAAAATAAAAACAAACACACACACTCATTCACACACACACCCTCACACACACACATTTTGTTGGCAAACATTTCCAGCCAAAAAAAAAAGAAGAAAAATGTAAACAAATAGCTAGTCAGGAATGGATGGCCTGGCTGGCCATGAGTGAGCAAAACAGAAAAATAAATACTACCAAGGAGGTGGGGGGGCGGGTTTGTGTGTGTGACGAACAAAGTTTGTTGCTGAAATGATGACAGGGCCAATGGTGGTGGTGGCAGTGATGGTGCTGGACAAAGGAATATCGTAGCCAGAGGTAGTACCCACTTGTGACTCAGTGAAAATGTTTCCCTCCCCCCCCCCCAAAAAAACAAAACAGAAAAATTGGCATTACGATGACAAACAGACAAACGGCAGGCTAACAAACAAACAAAGAACTTTGGAGCAGAAATATAAAATAAACAAAACAAATAGAAATGAGTCAGTCCGTTTTCTGAGCGACAAGTCGACAGTTGACGACAAATGCGCCAACAGTTGTTGTAAAGTAAATAGGTACGGACGTACGTTTTGGAACAATATTTGTTTGGAAAAACAACAATAACAACGGCAGCACATTACGACGTATGACCATGGCGTTGACGCTGATTGCGATGTTGATGATGATGATGGCGATGATGACGCCGTTGACAAAAGTCACAT